ATAATGTCTCTCAGAAGAATCTTGCGTAAATAATTACGGGAGATAGAAACCCAAGTGGACCGAATATGCTGTTGATCGCTGATAAGATGCCTCTACGGATGACAACTCAAAGAGAAATTGGTCGGCGTTGACATCCCAAATGAGAACAGACTTCGCTGAAGCGGTTTTTCGCCTGAGTGTAGATCTTGATCCTTGAGGCTAGATCGGTCGCAGGAAAGACTGGCATAACTTCTGACTGTTTGCCGTATTGTGTGTCTTTCATGTGTTGGATTGCTTCTTTTGGAGTAGAACACGAAGTCAATCAATCATCGACATAGACGTCCCTAGTGACGAATGATGGTCGTTGGTTCTCTCTGACGATGAAGAAGTGGAACATAATATGCTGTACTGTACGTCTGTGGTGACAACAACCATTTCCGTCCTAAAACGTAAAAGTACACAAATAAGGTTGTTCGCCAGGTCGTTCAAAGACACTTCTTGGTGCTTGGCGGATGAATCGAACACACCCCGTATTTGATTGGGTTTCTTTGGGTGGTAAGCATAGTTGTGCTCTGGGATTCGTTGTTAGGCAGTGACCGTCTGGGTGTCTTAGAAAGCAATGGTGCTATCCTATTGAGTCTAGTTTGAACTCGTTGTTCATTTGCTCCATGACCATTCGGTCTTCTTGTGACATAAGAAGCATCAATATGAATAGTCATCGTAGGAAATTCAAAAGAAAATAAGTCAGAAATTTTAAGACTATTTAGCGTTAAGTCTACCACTGCGATGTACAATATGTTGGCGAAACCCGAAACACGATGCGTACTCGTCTAACCGTCATTGCTTTAACATTCTTAATAAAAAAAAGACAGACCAGTCGCGAATCATTTCATGATCAAGGTCATTGTTTTTAGGTCAAATGGCTTGGGGTGAAGATTTTATTAAATCTGTCTTTAGACTTACACCTTTTATCTGCACATTAGCGTAAGCTGTATAAATGTAGTGACAGTTAAAAGCGTAAAGAAGAATCTATATATAGTAACATGTAGCACCTTTGCAACTTTGAGTACCTAGTTTGGACCGGTATCTCGCAAATTATTGGGCTCAGGCTCTATAATCTTGACCACAAAAGTCAACGTTATTCTGGCAACACGCGTTATGATAATTGGTACCTCTTCACGATAAACCTCTCAATTATTCAATCAACAAACAACACAAGTTTAGACGTTTATTTAGGACTACTAGAGAAAAGAAAAGTTTAAAGATTAATCAAGTGACGAATATTTTTGTCAAAATGCCTTCTTTCAACTTCTAATTGAATTGACGATTAACCGATCATCTAAAATCAGACCCGGTTACGCGTGAAATCCTACCCAATATTGGTTAACTACGTTTTTCAAGTATTTGTGTTTATATTCATACTGTATACTGTATAAATAATGTATAATAATGTAAAGCTATTGGTATTGTAATGTAAAAAGGCGCTATATAATCATGCAATTAAAATGCGAATATTCAAAAAAATCCAAACTGAATTAATTACAATGTTTCAAATTACATGAAAATATATTTATTTTTTATTCATGATCAAGTATCACTATAAAATCTTTAAAAAAATGATTAGTGTTGGATTTTAGAGGGTCGCGGTGGAGGGGCCAGGACCTTCTCCCTGAAAAATGTTTTAATCCAGGAAGGCATAGAATGCACGTAACGCGATTTTGGTAGTGAAAATAGAATGAATTAGCATTTTGTCTGTTCTCTCATAAAGAAATAATATCTCAACTCAGTCCTACACACAAACAGGAGAAATTGCTCACCACGAGAAACGTTTGATCTGTAATAGTGTCATTAACAACTAATCATGTACAAGTCTATGACCACCACATGCTGTTAGTCCACAGTTTTAAACACCAAGAATCATATAACATTTAATTACTTTTACAGACACAGGTCATAGTATTGTTAAAACTTAAAATACTCAAGATTTTAGTAACAAACAAAAATCTATTCCCACCAGCTTTTAAATTTATCCACGAAGATTTCTTTCTTTCTTTCAAAGATTCACTAACTATATGAAACCACAAAAGATATTCAGATTGAATAACGATTGAATAACTATATGAAACCACAAAACATATTCGGATTGAATAAATATTCACTAACTATATGAAACCACAAAATATATTCAGATTGAATAACGATTCACTAACTATATGAAACCACAAAACATATTCAGATTGAATAACGAATCACTAACTATATGAAACCACAAAACATATTCAGATTGAATAACGAATCACTAACTATATGAAACCACAAAACATATTCAGATTGAATAACGAATCACTAACTATATGAAACCACAAAACATATTCAGATTAAATAACGAATCACTAACTATATGAAACCACAAAACATATTCAGATTGAATAACGATTCACTAACTATATGAAACCACAACACATATTCAGATTGAATAACGATTCACTAACTATATGAAACAACAACACATATTCAGATTGAATAACGATTCACTAACTATATGAAACCACAAAACATATTCAGATTGAATAACGATTCACTAACTATATGAAACCACAAAACATATTCAGATTGAATAACGATTCACTAACTATATGAAACAACAACACATATTCAGATTGAATAACGATTGAATAACGATTCAGTAACTATATGAAACCACAAAACATATTCAGATTAAATAACGATATACTAACTATATGAAACCACAAAACATATTCAGATTGAATAACGATTCACTAACTATATGAAACCACAAAACATATTCAGATTGAATAACGATTCACTAACTATATGAAACCACAAAACATATTCAGATTGAATAACGATTCACTAACTATATGAAACAACTGTGAACAAGTGAAATTAGGTTGATATAATGGTAGGTGTTAGAATCAAAGTTCACAGAGCCTATTTAGAATTTGAATTTTTTCTTAAATGTAGCCGAACTTTTGTTTTATTTTGGAAGGATTGTGGGTATCAAACTTTTGATGTTAATGAACAAATACGAAGGCTATAGCCTCTTGACTTTAAAACATCGATCTTATTAGTTGATTAAAATGAACAATAAAAATATGGAATGCATTTTAGCGTAAAATCCGTGATGTAACTCTAGCAGATTTTACATAACACCACTGTAAATTGATGTATTTTGAAAAGGATAGGTTGGTATTGTTAAATCAAAAATATGATTGTAATATTGCCGAACATGGAACGTCTTGTACTCTTGCAAACAAGCATGCGGATAAAATTGTGCACGTACAAACACTGCAGTACTGTAAACCTCATTGTAAAACTATCTATAAGGTGATATCTATTCGAGTATTAATTGAGGGTTTGGTAAAAATTGACAGAAAGGCTGTTTGTTCGTTATACGTTAAATAGAGTGTTCATCAAAACCAACTACCAGCTGATGTACCCTTGTTAAAAGTGTTATTGTATTCAAGAAATGTTTCCTCTTTCAGTTATGGTTGGAGGTAAAACTTTAGTTAGATTCCACAACAATAACAACAAAACCACAACACAACAACAATAATGTCAGAAATACGTTGTCAAATAAACCAAAGTTTTGCATTCCTGTAACTATATGAACCTATATTAACAGAAAGCTTCAGTTTCAAAACTTTTCAAAACTGACTCCGTTTGGCAATCACCATCGCAATAATTTTCGCATTTTCTAATTTCAGACAACTCTGAACGTTAAATGGATATAAGGAATTTGTGCCTATGATAAATTATTTTAAGGCTTTGGTGTGATATGTTGATTAGAATTAACTTAAATGAACAATTAACATTACGACCTTTTGTCACCTTTTAAGGCCCTGGTTGGCAATTCCTCTCCTCGATTCTATACGCTAATTATTGCCTATTTATCACTTTTCAACTTTACTGTTTCCACCAGTCAGTTGTCAGATGGGTATTTTATGTCATTAGCAATAACTATACACGGAGCTATGAATTCAAGTGGAACTCGACTTGTCAGATGATATAGGAGATGTGAATGTGATTAAATCAAAACCATTAAGCTATTTTTATAGTCAAACACTTACCAGGAAAGCAAACGGAATATTTAGTCACCGCTAACAGAGTTCATTATAAATGAATAGTGAAATAATTTAAATAATTAATTAAAAATTTCGTTAAAATCTAAAAAGACTTGTGTCTTTCTGTTTAGGTTTTTAGGGGTTCTGGGTTCTAGGCGATGGAATGTAAGATGAAATATGTCTTACATTGACTCTGTATGGTTTGCCACAAGACCAAAGACGTCGCGAAAACATACAATGTCCACCAAGAAAATATCCAACATATACATCATATAACTGTAACTTAAAGAACAGAAACTGACAGGAACGCTGTGGACCAAACTCTAAAATACGTACATGTACATCCAACCATTTAAAGGGATTGATAAATTCTTTTATTATAGTTTAAGTGTTGATGTCGTCACTAATCTCCAAATATTCTTTATTACTAACTGGCCCTTCGATATCAATGAGGTCGACATCGGATTAAAATTTGATGCCATCAGTGTCCCCCATACACATAACAAGTTAAGAAAACCTCTTTACATTTCCTTGAAAGAGAGGAAACATTGCATAAGAAGCATACAAGATTTTGACACTGAAGAAAAAGTGTTCGCGTATAAATAAGAAATAATGCATTGTTTAAGGTGTTTTCATCTAGCAGAACTACAAAATGGTTTCGTGTTCATTTAAATAAAACTGTCCAAAGATGGATAAAATCCGCACTTATTTTCAAAAATGATTTGGGTGTCGAAAGAATTAGATTTATCACTAGGTACGCCAACGCTTTATTTACCTTAGTTATTCTGTTGTTGATTTCGGTAAAAACAATCATTTAAAACGAGTAATCAGATTAACTGATAGAAACCACTGTCGTAAGGTGGGATATTGTTTCTCTTGACAACGTCCTTTAATGATATAAGCTTGCAGTTCTCAGGAGTAGTCATATTCAATTCGATTTCAACTACATGTGGACATAGGAAGGATTTTTCTGATCACACATCAACGGGTAATTTATCATATTTATATCTTTTATTTACTCTTGTTTTAAACGTTGGACCCATTTCCTTTGTTTTGTCTGTATTTAAAAAAAATATAATGTAAATACGCTCCAGTAGGAACGATAGTGCAAGAGCCAATACCAATTTGAATTTGTCCCAAACTCTATTTTTCTATGGCAACGATGGAAAGTTTTCATGATTTCATGGGCCAGTTAATGAGCTATTTAGTTTCAGACTGCAACTATTAACTATTAACTATTAACTATGGACAATGCTACAATCACCTCTATTGGGCTGCGTCTAGATCTATTACCTCGGCCGTATATGTAAACTTCTTTTCATATTTTCTCTTACTTCTTCCAATAATTTATTTAAGTTCGCCATTACAAAAAATAACTTATCTGAATTTTTCAGAACCACAATGTCTAACACAAAGGCTGTTATTAAAAATGCTGATATGGCAGAAGATATGCAACAGGACGCTATCGATGTGACGTCACAAGCTTTAGAGAAATTCAACGTAGAAAAAGATATCGCAGCCTTCGTAAAGAAAGAATTCGACAAAAAATACAACCCAACATGGCACTGTATCGTAGGACGAAATTTTGGATCGTACGTCACCCATGAAACGAAAAACTTCATCTACTTTTATTCGGGTCAAGTTGCAGTGTTATTGTTCAAATCTGGTTAATTTTCATTGTGTAACTCGTGTGTTTCGTAAAATTCGAACAACGAAATGAACTCAGCAAATTATTTATACACATTTAAGTTATTAATGTTGATCTAAATTTTGTTTGATCTCTCTACACTATTGCTATATTGAGCACCATTTTAACAGTAAAAATATTTTGTGGATACGAAATTGATGTGATTAAGTCAATATACAAACTTCATGTACCAGATTATTGTTACTGGGGCACTGGTGATACCTGGGTATTGTTACTGGGCCATTAGTATTTACCTTCCAGTTGTGGTATCTGCCTATTTATATAAACTGTGTCATTGGTAGTATCATGGTAAATGTTTCTGAGCCACTGCCGTTGGTTATAACAGGTTATTAATTGTGCCGCTGGTTATAACAGGATATTGTTACTGGATCAGTTGCAGTGTTATTGTTCAAATTTGGTTAGTTTCATTGTGTATTACGAAAGTCAAAATGACCAGCAGCTGGAACTCTTGAAGGAATTTGACATCAATTTACACATGTTAGCTTTTAAATGTTATTTTAATTTGTTGTGTAAAGTTTTATGTATATTGTGATATAATTGTATTTATTAGTATTACACTTTATCATTTTCATTAATAAAATATTGTAAATCTACCATAGTGATAATTAACTATTTCACATATTTATCTTTAAAATATGTTAAATTATATAAATATTGATGAGATATCGAATGACGGATGCAATGTTTTCCCTTGTCTAGGGCTTCCAAATATGTCAGTATGTTGTGGTTAACTCTAGAAGGTGCAATTCTTGAGGGATTTTGATGACAAAAGGATGAACCCTATTCAAAACCAGAAAGATCTAAAAAATAATTAGTATGAGTTATTGTCCTTGTTCTTGAAAACGCGTTCAATTTTTGTTCGTAAACACTCCAGAAGGAACAATTCTTGACGGATTTTGACGAAACTTGGTGTGAGTGTTTGTAATCACCCAAGGATAAAACCTATCGAATATCAGAAAAATTGAAAAATATTTAGTATGAGTTATGGCCCTTGTTCTTGAAAACGCGTTCAATTTTTAGCCTGTAAACAGTCTAGAAGGCCCAATTCTTGACAAATTTCTGATATTATTATGCAGTATCGCCTCAACAAGTTCAAAAGAAGTGTATGTCTGAAGGTTGAATATTTCATACTAGTGATTGTTACTGTACTGCTAAATATTTTTATTCAAAATCAAAGCTGCCAGTGGGTGTATATTACCTCGCCTGGCAAGCTATCTTCTTTCAGATTTGTTGAACTATCATCCGTTTTGAATTCTCGACAAAGTATGTTGTATATGAAGATACGTTACCGCTCCACGTTTCAGAAGGTGATCACAGAATAACGCAGATCATTGCTACTGTCCAATCACAAGACGAACGCAATCATGAAGGCAAAGTCTAGTTTAAAAAGTGATATTCTTAGTGATATTCGAGCTCGAACCTTAAGAACATTATTAAAATGGTAGGTAAGGAACAAGATTATACTGTGAAAATAGAGTCAGAAGAAGGTGAAATGAAATTGATAATGTGCGACTATAATGGAATGTAAATGGGTGGTCACGTGATCAGGTCTCTTTTAATTATCTTTTACGAGAAAATGTTTTTAAATTTTTAGACTTGGATGTTTTATGTGTGTGCGAAACATTTTTAAGAGGCATCGAATGTATTGATCTTGATCGTTACGTATAGTTTTGTAACAATAGACAGGCTTTGCATCAAAATGCGAGAAGCTGCTCGAGTGGTGGGTTTTTTGATCAAAACTACTTTTCTGAATCCATTCCAAGTCGTTAAGGCCTACTGGATGATTTTCTTTTTATTTAAATTTGGACCTGTTAGGGAAATCGAAACTATAGTTTTATGGTAAAATCTGGAATAAAAAAAAACACCAAGTACAAGCGATCAGAACCGTAATACAAAATACATAAATATATAAAACGAAACAAGACAAGTTCAATAAATAAAATTGGTCATAACTTGCAAGAGTTGTGTCCCTCTACTGCGTGCCTATAACGTCACCCACCTTCTAGAAAAAATGGCAACTGAAATGTCTGAAAGTAAAAATCTTT